CCATGGCACTCTAGCCTGGGCAACAGAGTGAGACTGTGCCCCCCACCCCCCTAAAAAAGAGTAAATGATCAATTGTTTTCTTACATTTCAAAAATGTATGTGTAGAAACAATTCCGTAGTCACTAATGGTGCCTGTGTCTTTTCTGCTTTAGATATCAAACACATACTCTTGTCAAAGTTTCTGGAAAGTTCCCTCAAGCTACATATCCATCCCAGATATGAAATTTTATTATTTGAACTGAGAAGCTTAGATTATGGCCTTCAGATGCTAATTAAGCAGTGGGGCCCTTGTTTTTTAAAATGAGCAGAGTTGCTTAGAATGGTCTGTACCCTGAAGATTAGAGTCAATGTGGGACTGACACTCAGCAATTACCACAAATGATATTGATAAAACACAGTTATATTATTTTATTTCCAAATCATTAATATAATTATACTTTTTTAAAGTATTATATGGAAATTATATTCTAGCAAACTTAAAAACTAGTTATCTGAGGATGGTGTTAGTGATGGCCAAAGATCTGATATAAAGCAATTATTAGTAGAATACCATAGGGCACTAATGAATATCACCTTACATTTCCTTTTTGTTCTTAAGAAATGTAGGATAGGTGATACAGTACTTTGCTTGGCCTATAAAAAATTAGACAAATTATTTGAGAGCTATTTTAAAGTAATACTAATATAGGACCAGAGGTAATAGAATAGAATAATATGATTTATTTCTATTAGTAACCAACTCCTAATAGTGTACAAATGGTAGTTTCTTTTTAAAATATTATACATATGGTACATGTTAATATGTGTTAAGTGATTATTCAAGCATCAAATACTAAATTTTCCTCTAAGCTGATTTGATAAGCATGAACTTTTACAAGGCCTTTTTTTTCTTAGTTTTTTTTTTAACTGGGAGATAATTTACCTAGAGTAAAATGGACCAATCATAAACGTACATACAACTCAGTGAATTTTTGTGTATGTTTACATCATATAACCACCCCAGACCAAGATTTAGAGTTAGATATAACCATAGACATGTTCTTTATTTTGATCTAGATGGTTATATAGGTGTATATGAATGTTTTATATGTAGTGGTTATAGTCATCCCTTGGATAAACACAAAATTTTAAATATAGTCTTGAACTTCTAAGCAGTATATTTTAGGCATTAGAAAAAGAAAAGAAAAATGAACTTAACCTATGTCATAGAAATATTTGGAAACCAATTTAATCATGTGGTGCCTGGGTTTAAATCTGAATGAAATATCTAGTAGAGTTGAAAAACATCTAAAAATCTTGAACTCCAAAATGGCATGGGCTGGCCACCCCCAAAAGGTACGTGAGTTCAAACATACACACACACACACACACACACTCACGCACACACGCACATGCACACGCACATGCACACATGGCCACACTCCTTCTACAGAGTCCATAACCTTCATCTCCCTCTTTTTCTCTCTCCCCATTACTTTTACATATGTAGTAGAGGGGAAGTAATATTTTCACCTGATAAGTGGAGAAGAGTGTATTTTCCTTTAAATTTTACCTACACATGTCACACATGTATGATACCTTTGATCCATATGTGTTTATAGAATGTGTAAGTATGGGATAAACAGATGATGTGTAGGGGAAAGAGGACTGAACTCTGAGTCACCTGGAGTCTATTCCAGAAATATCATTTTTATTCGTATGGTCTTAATTATATCACATAGCTCCTCTAGTTCTATTATCTGTAAAATTGGCAAAATAGTGCCTATTTCACTTGGTTGTGTGATCTTTAAATGAGGTATATAGAGATATTTTGCAAATTGTAAAGCATTATAAATATAAAATACGTATTTATATATAGGTAACAAGTATATAAATCTATATCTGTAGCTTATTTCTTCAATCCTCAGTTTACCTTCTCACTACACATTGCACAGGTAATCTTTGTGGGGAGAGTTACTGAAAGAAAGCTACTGAGAGATAATTATGTTTAATATGATAAATTTAGCAATATATAATTTAACAAATAGTTTTCATATAGATTATCTCAATTAATTTTCAAAAACTAAAAGGAACCACATTATGCCCAGCTTACATATGAGAAAACTGAGGTTCAGAGAGATTAATCTTGCCCCAAGTGAAATAACAGATCAGTGGCAGAACTGGCATTTGTATTTAGGTTTTTGAATTCTTCAGTTTAGTATGCTTTTATTTGTGCATTACAGCTGTCTACACTTCAGTCTGATTTTTATAAATCCGTACTTATTCAATAATTGTCTCTGTGGTCTGGGAAGGTCATTTCATCATCTGAGTCTCAGACTGATCTCAAGCCTTCTAAATGTAAAATTCAATTTTCTGCTATTTCAATTCAGTTGATCTTGCCCATCCTTGGATGAAGCATCAGATGCCATTGTTTCAAAACACTTTAATTGGATATTATGTATTTCCGTGTTCCATATGAATAAGAACACTTAAATACTAAAAGGGATCATTACTTAAAATGTGTCATATCAATGCTTATTATATGTTAAATGTATCTTTTTTCTGTTTTTTTAGTGTTCGAAAGCATCCTCAAACCAAGAAGATACAGATTACCTCTTTTGTCTTTAAAGTTACAGCCTATGTAAGTGTGAAGGAAAATGTCCAACCAAAGAATTTAATTACTTGTTAGTAGAGATGTTACAACTGGAATTAGCAATTAGGACAATGTTATGCCTAGGAGAAAAGACATTGATATTTAGGGTTTTGTTAAAATTAAAAGTTGATAGAGTATGCTTTTGTTTGGAGAACAGTTTGAACTTTTTTCTCTGGCTTCCTTTCTGTCATCTGTATCTGAAAATATTCCTACTTATTTTAGAACTAAATCTGTGACTCCGATGGAGTAGAACACAATTCTCTAGTCTGTCAAACCATAATTTATAAGGCAAATAAGTAAGAATGCCATAAATGCCTTTATATCACAGAATCTGATACTTGAATTTTAATATCATACAAAAGATATTATTACTTAGGAAGCAGTTTTGAAGTATCTTCATTCAATCACTTAACAAATATTTATTAAACATCTATGTTTATCAGCTAGGTCACAGTGATAAACAAAAGAAACAATCCCTGCCCTCATAGTACATAGAGACCGTGTTCTAAAAGAAAATAAGATAGAAGAAAATTGCTAACTAGAAATTTTGTAACATTAGCATTTTAAAAGCACTTTTTTAAATGATGGGATTTCCCTTTGGACTATAAAGTTCCTTAAGGACAAAAATTATGAAAGTATATATAGAACATATGCATTCCTATCATAGTAGACCGTACTATCGATAAATATTTTAAAATATTAGTTAACTGCCAATTTTTTTTCAAAGATTTTATGTATGTTTTATGATATTTTGACAGAAAGTATATAATAGTAGAATATGTTGCTTATCACTTAAATGTAGTTGTAAGGCCAGATGCAATGGCTCAAGTCTGTCTGTAATCCCAGCACTTTGGGATACAGGAAGATCACTTGAGCCCAGGAGTTCGAGGATTCAGTGAGTTCTGATCAGGCCTCTGCACTCCAGCTTGGGTGACAGAGACCCTATCTCTAAAAAAATAAAATAAAAAATGAAAAAGGAGTTGTATACAAAATAACTTAGGTTTATCTTTTTCAGGATTCTGCTGGTATGTGCTACCCTTCAACAAAGAATCATGAACAAACATTTTCTTATTTTATTGTGGATCCTATCAGGCGTCACATTCATGTTTTATACCATTGTTATGGCGTGGGGGAAATGTCTTAATGCTCTTTCAGATTATCTACTGTATTTACTATTTTTTATTTATCATTTTTCTATTTTAATACTGATTTATATATAAATATTTACTTTGCAAATTAATTCAAGAAAAATGTAAAGAGTCTACTTAGAGCAGAAGAAAGCAAACACCAAGATACCTTTGTTTGAATTTGTCTGGAATACTAACCAGGAATCAAATTTCATCCCTAATAAAATCTATACCAAAAACGTTATGGAATTTTTAAAGAAAGTTACAAGGAACTAAAAATCTAGTTCATATTCGTTGCATTAAAATTTAAGTGAGTCCTCAGTTTTCCATGTATTTTATTTTAGAAGTTAATTAATTATGGATTGAAATTGTAGCAGAAAACTAAACATCTCTATCACTAGTCATTAATATGAATTGTTAGTTTATTTGACGTGTTTCATTTAATAACATTTCTTCACTGTGTAAGGGTTTATATCTCTAGAGCTGGGAAAAGCCTAACTGACCTTTTGCTCCATTTATTCCACTTAAAATTCTCAATAAAAAAATAATGTTCTGAAAGTATTGTAAACTTTTTATCACATAATAGATTAAAACTACAGCAGTCCCACAGCTAATACAAGAGCTATGTGTAAACAGAGAAAGTTGCCCTGATGGTATTATTAAATAGCCAAAAGAGTGAGAAGCAAGTACTAGTGAAGTACTAGAAGTACTAGTGAAGCAAGTACTAGCGAAGTACTAGAAGAAGTACTAGTGTCCTAGTACTGTCCCTCATTACATTGATAGAATGAATGTATAACTTAGTTTTATTTTAATGGAAATAGTGATTGACATATATCCCATAGATGATGGAGAGCCTGCAAGAATTGTTGAGACGTGGAGGATGAGCAAGTTTGGAGTATGTATTTTTGTATGGTAGAAATAAAGATGATAATCTTGGATTTGAAACTGGATTTGAATCTGGAAGGCAGTTGGCAATTTCAGTATAGAGCTAAGGAAAGAGAGTTTGTTTTACTTCTAATACCTAGCACAATGCCTTGGCATATAAATGTTTGTTGAAGGTATAACTACTTTCCAGATATGTTTATAATATCTATAGAATTTTTTTAAAATTATATAAAAACATAAAGTCAAGAACTAAAATGTCTGTTTGCTACCTGTCTTGCTGCCTGCCTCACAATTCCCTACAACCTGGAGACCCTCTCAGTCAATCAGTTCGTCAATCAGTAACTCTTTTTTTTTAATAATGCCTTTAATAATGCCTTTTAAAATTTTAGAATATTACAGCGGTACAAACGTTTTGGTTACATGTATTGCTTTTGTACAGTTAGAGCCAATGTTATAAGTGTGCCCATCACCCATATAGTGTACATTGTACCTGTTAGGTGTGAATTTACCCAACCCCAGCCCTTCGTCCCTCCTCCCACCTGCTCGATTTCCAATGAATGTTATTTCCATATGTGCATGTAAGTATTGACCAATTAGTTCCAGTTTAATAGTGAGTACATGTGATGTTTTTCCATTCTTACAATACTTCATTTAGAAGAATGGTCTCCAGTTCCATCCAGGTTGTTACAGAAGGTATTAGTTCCCCATTTTTTTTTATGGCCGAGTAGTGCTCCATGATGTACATATACCACATTTTATTAATCCACTCATGTATTCATGGGCACTTGGGTTGATTCCACATCTTTGCGATTGTGAATTGTGCAGCAATAAACATTCTAGTGCAAGTGCCTCTTTTATAAAATGACTTTTTTTCCTATGGGTAAATGCCCAATAGTGGGATTTCTGGATCAAATAGTAGGTCTACTTTTAGTTCATTTTGAGGTATCTCCATACTGCTTTCCTTAGAGGTTGTACTAGTTTGCAGTCCCACCAACAGTGTTTAAGTATTCCTTTCTCTCCACATCCACACCACCATCTGTTGTTTTGGGACATTTTATTAAATGCCATTCTCACTGGGGTTAGGTGATATCTCATTGTGGTTTTGATTTGCATTTCCCTGATGATTAGAGATGACCATTTTTTCATATGTTTATTGGCCGTTAGTCTTTCTTCTTTTGAAAGGCTTTTGTTCATGTCTTTGCCCACTTTTTAATGGGATCTCAGTAACTCTTTTTAATACCAATTCTCTGCAAGGCATTGTGAAGTTCACTTTGGGGAAACACACTCCCTATAAACTTAGTAGGGAAGGTAATCTCTTAAGAGTGCGACTACTGTTAAATTAAATTTAACCTAAAGCTGCCTCCTTACATATTTAAGTTCAGCCTAAAAGTTTCTCTGTACTTAGTGAACTGTAATCTAACTGGATGTGTAAATAGATTGTAACCTGCTCTCGTACCAATCACCAAATTTTGGCCAAATTCAGCCAACTGTTCAAACTGTGTTCAAATAAGGCAAACACCAAGCTGTAACCAATCCAGCTGTTTCTGTACCTCTTTTCCATCTTCTGTACATCACTTTCATTTTTCTGTCTATAAATCCTTTCCAACTGTGCAGCAGCACTGGAATCTCCCTGAACCTGTTCTGGTTTAGGGGCACTTCCCTATTTGCTAATTGATCTTTGCGCAGTTGAACTCTGTTAAATTTAATTTGTCTGAAGTTTTTCTTTTAACACCTTAGTGATTTGATTGTTACATGAATTCAGAGATGGAAGAGATCACTGTGATCTAGACCTAAAATAGGCTTGATCTGGCTTCTATGGAAAGACTGGTAGAGTTTCAGCAACTGAAGAGGAGAACAGTTCAAGGGAGTGCATGATGTGGCAGGGTGCTCTGGGCCTGGGCATGGGGTGAAAGTCCAGAAGCAAAAGATGTGAAAATAATGCTAAGAAACTGCCAGTGTTTTTTCTCAGCTCTAAAGGTGGAGGTAGAAAGCAATTTTGAAGAAAGATTAGTCCATGTTTTGCGAAAATCATTTTAATGACCCATGTGTGATTATGCAAATTATCGGTATTGAGAGGCATACATACATACATAGTAGAGTGATAAAGAGCTTGAGGTGGGCTCTCAAGATGTGTGGATTCTTAATTCTCTCATTATTTGCTATGTGACCTTGAGTTGGTTCTTAACCTTTCTGTGCCTTAGTTGTCTTTTCTGTAAAATGGAGAAAATAATAGGACTCTCTTGTAGGTTATTTTGAAAATTATATGAATTAATATATATACTGGGCATAGAATGGTGCCAAACCCATAGTTTAAATGCTTATAAATTTTGGCTGTATTCATTCTCTTTTGAGGAAATATGAAAAAAGTTAAACTGTCTATATAATAGTGCAAAAAGCTGTCTTCTTTAGGGTCAGAATTGCTTTCCTATAGATTATTATTAACTTGACTAAACAGACTGGAAGAGACAGGAAAATTGGTTTTTCCTCTTTCTGGGAGCCCCAGAGAATGTAGAGGTCCTGAGCCTGAACTCCAGATATTTCGTTGGCAGCATTTTGCACACTTGGAATTATTTGCTCAACTATTTGTAATAGTTTGTTTAATGTCTATCTCTCATGAAAACAATTGTGTCTTTTTCATTCACCCTAATATCCCCAGTACCTAACAGTGCCCAGCGCTTGAAAGACACTCAATAAATATCCATTCTCTTGGGCTGACAGAGTCCATTTGATGGAGAGAAGCTGGCCTTTTAATTTTAAGTATGATTTTGGGGAGTGTGGAAACTGAGAGAGGAGGAAGGTTGGCACCTGAGGTCAGACAACATTAGTATGGAACCCTCCTCTGTAGGGACTTAGCTGGTGACTCTAGCAACCTTCATATGTAGGCGCCGATCTTAAGTTTTCTGTGCAGTAGTCCCTCTAGTGATCCCTAAACCTTTTGTTAAATTTTGCAAACTATTATGGTCTGGATTTATATTACAGTCTGGATTTAGCTGTACAGTGTAGGATTAGATAAGCAGCCTGGTTACATGCCTGGGGCAGAATTGTCCCTAGAGAACAACAGCAACAGCCTGCAGAAGCCAGCTTTTAAAAAGCAAACAGTGATCAACTGAGAGTGGAGGGGTTGTCTGGGTGACTATGGTGACAAGTGACAACAGAGTGGTGTTCTGGGACTTGAGAACATTTTTCAAAAATTCCAAAAGTTACTTAAAGAGAAGGGTCTCACAGAATTGTATTTGGACATTAAAAAGAGGGACTTAGGCTGAAGGCTGGAGGACTTGGGACATTTAGGCCCCATGATCAAAAATAAATATTAATACAAAGGCATAAAAACTCAGGGGGGTTGGGGTGACATGAGTACATCTGAGTAGTTAAAACTGAGGAGTTCTGTCCAGGAGTCTGGATAATAACAGGGAAGACAGATCAGTGTTGATTGAGCCACTGAGGCTGTGGGTGCAAAGCTAAGAAATTTAAATCTTTTTTTTTTTTTGAGACAGAATCTCACTCTGTTTCCCAGGCTAGAGTGCCGTGGTGTCAGCCTAACTCACAGCAACCTCAAACTCCTGGGCTCAAGCGATCCTCCTGCCTCAGCCTCTTGAGTAGCTGGGACTACAGGCATGCACCACCATGCCCGGCTAATTTTTTCTATACATTTCTGTTGTCCAGCTAATTTCCTTCTATTTTTTGTAGAGACAGGGTCTCGCTCTTGCTCGGGCTGGTCTTGAACTCCTGAGCTCAAACGATCCACCCGCCTCGGCCTCCCAGGGTGCTAGGATTACAGGTAAATCTTTTAAGTAGGTGATGTACAGGAGTCATTAAAGACTTTTGAGCAGGGGTGGTAGCATCACAAAAGTGATATTCTGGAAAGATTAGTCTGGCAGTGATGAATTGGGGTGAAGGAAGTCCAAAGCCCAAAGATCAAAGAGAAGATTGTAGTAGTTGTTAAAGCACAGATTTAACTGATTTGAGTTAATAGCAATGGAAACCTCTCTGGGCATCATGAAGTATGTGACAATGGAATGCTCATTAGAAAAAAAAATCAAATATAGTCCCCAAAAGGGTGAGCAGGTCGGATGAATTATGGAGTGTTGGGTATCTGAGGTACTGAGAACTAGGAAGTGGCAACTGTGGTAGGCAGTTGTGGTCAGAGAGGGGAAATCCCTCATCCTGAGCTCTCCCTTGTATTCAGATCCACAGGCCTATCTTCCTTGTTCCAGCTCATTCTCAACCAGCTTTGGTCCTTACAACTTTAAGAAATACATTCGAAGGTTCTAGAAACTGACTAGAGGCTTCTTAAGGAAAACTTTCTATCCTGAAGGCTTTTCAGTCATCCATTTACTCAGCAAGTATTTGTTAAGAATATCACTCATTCTCATTCTTTCCACAAATGTTTATTGATTACCTATTATATGCTGGTCACTTTCTAGGCACTGCAAATACAGCAATGAACAAAACAAAAATTTCTGTATTAGGGAGCTTTCATTCTAGTGCCCATAACTGTGTTAGGTGCAATGAGA